ATTTATCCCCTTAATAATTTATTTTGTTTTTTGTAAATTTTCATCATAACATTTTTACTTCCTTTTACGTTTGCACGATTTAATCAAATTTTATTGTCAATTACGGTTTTGGCTTCCAACTATTATGATTTATTATTCTTCCTGATTTATTTTTATATGTAATTGCGATCTCAGTATTGACCAAAATAAACATGATTAAGATTAAGCAGCCCTACTTCATCACAAGATATAGTCTCTTGAAGTTTAATATATAGTATAATATATATTTATATTTATACCTTGAATACTGACTGGCCAAAATCAATATCATGCTAAAATACACAGCACTAATATAAATATAAAAACTATATATATATATATATATATATATATATATGTGTGTGTGTGTGTGTGTGTATATATATATTGCTGTGGCAGGATACACCTGCTGCTTGATGTGGCCGCTCTCAAGCACACGCGCTTGCATACAGTTACACTGATCAGGGGTGTGTTCCAGTACTGGGGTGTACACGCGTGGGCCGCTGCACTGGGGGCTTTCTTCACACATCGCAATCGCAGGGAAATCCTTGTTCCCCTTCACCCACTCTCTCATCCATCAGAACTTCAGGTGCATCCTGGGACAAGGTTACACCGTCTAAAATGTCAAGGGTTAACCTGTGTTTCTGGGTTATGCTCATATTAACGGTAGGTATGTTCAAAGATCAGGGAAGAATCTCACTGCCACTTATATAATAGATAACTTCAACATTATTATGCAGGTTTTATCTTTGTGTGCTTGGGATCCTCATGGCTTTTGTAGCAGTTCACATGCTTTTTATAATTCAGACAGTTCAAACATTATGCATCACAGAATGTGATATGATTTCATTAGGTACGAAGGAAATGATGTAATATTTAATGATGGTGGTTTGTGTTTAATTGTCTTAAAGGCCTATTTCTGATGAACTCTGGTCTGATGAACCTCAATTCCAAGCATCATGTTTGAAGGAAACAAGGCACTGCGCAGAGTACCATCCCAAAAGTAAAGTGTGCTGGTAGCAGCCTCATGCTGTGGGGCTGTTTTTCAGCGGCAGGGACTGAGGGACTCGTCAGAGTAGAAGAAAAGTTCAGTGCACCAAAATATAGAAATAACCTTAATGAAAACCTAGTCCAGAGCATTCAGAACCTCAGACTGGGCAGAAGGTTCAGCTTCCTACAGGACAATGACCCTAAACACACAGCAAGAGTGGCTTATAAGCAACTCTGTGAATGTCCTTGAGTGGCCCAGCCACAACCTGGGATTGAACCCAATCAAATATTTCTGGAGAAACCTGAAAATGTGTGTCTGCCCCATCCAACCTGACAGAGCCTGAGAGGTGAAGAGGTGAGGAGAAGAATGGCAGACAATTGCTAAATGCTGATGTGCAAAGCTTGTCGCATCATACCCCAAAAGACTTGAGGCTGTAAAGGTGCTTCAGCTAAGTACTGAGTTAAGGGTATGAATACTTATTATGCAATGTACTTATTTCAGGTTTTTTATTATTAGTAAGTTTACGAAGTTGTGAAAATTCAGTTTTTGCTTTGACATTGTGGTATATGGAGTGTATATTAATGTGGGAAAAAAGTAATTTAAAGCAATTTAACATAAGACAGCAACATAAAAAGCGTATGAATCCATTCGCAAGGCACTGTATGTGTATATGTGTGTGTGTGTGTGTGTGTGTGTGTGTGTGTGTGTGTGTGACTTGAGAAGAGACAGACTGAGTTGATCAGAGGTCCTGCTGGGCTCTGCCTGTCAGCCTGCAACAGTCTGTAAACACATTCCCAGAGCAACTAGACATTGTACACCAAAATATATGGTTCATTAGTTCATTATACGTTAATATGTGTATACACATATAATTTTGCTTTTTGCAAAGAACATGAATAGGTTCACGTACACCGCTTCATCTCTGTTGTGCTGTTCTTATCTCTTGGCTATCAGCATTGTTACATGACGCTAATGATCTAAGATGACCCGTTTTACAAACCATTTGTCTTGCGTTGTTGAATTGCGACGTGCACAATCTGATGTGATCTAGGTCAAGTATACCTTGCCTGTAGCTTTACGTTTGTATGATGCTGTGAACACTTCAGTGTTTCCGCATCAGGTTAAAATTAACAGTGAATATATGAATGACAGTGGTATTTGTCTATAGATTGACAATATCTAAATCTTCCTACTTGTGTTACGGTCAGTTTTCTGTCTCTAATCAGACTAAATCCTTCGTCAAACATCAGCAGTATCAGATGTGGTTGCATATGTTTATCTAACACAGATGACTGGGAGTGAAGCCATGATGACTTCATTGTTGAATGGTAAGAGCAGCATCATTCTGTGAGAGCTGGGAATGAGATTACACCCTTCACACTTACTTACACACTCTCTCTGTCATCTTCCCTCCCTCTGTCTCATTTAATATTCAGCTGACTTGTCGTCCTCACAGTGACCCATCATTCCCTGTTCACGGACAGTTCACGTCATCCGAGTAGAGCACACTCGTGTTCTTTTTACCCTTGGTACCTTTGACTTTGAACTGGAGTTTAATTGCTTTCATGCCATTCATTTCTTTCATGATTCTGATCCACAGTATGGTTGCAGAATGTTTTTGGCAATGGTATGAATGCTGTTTCTAGGCAACAAATTGTACAATCTGAACATTAGAGATGGAGAAAAGTGTTTATTGGGTAGTAACATGAAGAAAACTATTTTTTTATTCAGTGGCAGAAGAACCGGTCTTCCATAGATACCTGTATAGTCTGCTTAATTTCTGCATTATATCTGAGAGATAAGCTGTACTCATCCATTTTAGACATACAAATTTGGCATGTTTGCCATTCAGGAGACTTATTTGGAGGCTCAGATTTACCCACCCATAAATGGCACATAAAAACTGGTTAGTCACTTCATGTTTGAAGATTCTTGTTCACTTGGCAGCTTTTTCTGGCTAAGACAAATGTCTGACTCATCAAGACTTGATTACATGGTATGCCATTTTTAAAAGCCCTTGTAAAAAGACTAAAAAGAGTACTAATGGAAGTATTGTACTTTTTAAAAGAATATACTGAAGTGTGAACACTTGTTAATTGCAGTTAAATGAAAATAGATTATAGTTTAAATTGACATTAAATGGAACTTTAGAGTGCTTTTTAAAGTTATCTTTATATTTAATTTTTAAATGACACTTATCTTTGAAAAATGGTTAAATGTACCGGCAAGTATTTGATGAACTAAAATACACTTTAATGTAATTTTTTCATTTCTGAATGTCTAATTACACATTTGCAACACTGTTGTCATTTAGTATATTTAAAATATATTAAATTTAACACTAATTGGTTTAGTATGGTAGTAAACACATCAAAATATGTGTACTTCTTTAAAGTATGACAAAAGATTAAAACATGAATTAAAATGCACAATGTTCTTTAAAGTAGGGCTGTGCGATTAATCGAAATCGTCATAAAATCGCGATTTGAGCGTGCGCGATTTCTAAATTGTCTGTGGTGCGTATTTTATCCGCGCCCATGTTAACAGATCAGAGTGTTCACACTGCACACGATTGCGGTCCGGCAGTGCGCTCCAGGAGCGGTGCGTCTGCAGCAGTCTACGACTGTAAAGAATGTCTGTGTGTGTCAAAATCGTGATTAAAATCAAAATCGCAAAATTTATCAAAGAAATCATGATAGCTTTTTTTTGTCCATATCGCACAGCCCTACTTTAAAGTAAAACTTAAAGTGCAATTACATGTGTGCTTAAGTCTGTTAAGCTAAAGTAAATCTACTAAAGTAACTCCTTACTTTTAAATTTACAATTACTTTTTCAAATTACAAGTTACTTTGTTTTTCCTTTTTTTTTCACTGACACCTCTCCTGTCACCGTATTGAGAGAATTTGGGAGTGAGGTGCAAAGACAGACTTCAGCCTGAGGCTTATTAATTTCACTTTTGGTTTGAAAGGGCCTTTACAGTTGCCAAAAAATTAGAACTTTTGGGTTTTTTGTTATTAAAAAACAAAACAAATAAGCCAGCCCAGATTACAAAAAGTAACACAAAAGTAACTTACACTACTTTCCATAAAGAGTAACTGAGTAACACGATTAATTATTTTTTCATGGAGTAACGCGATATTGTAATGCATTACTTTAAAAAGTAACTTTCCCTAACTCTGATTTTCAAGCATTTGTTTTAATGTACTTTAAGATTTGAAGTACACTCAAGTGCACATTAAAAACAATTAAGCATATATTTTCACAAGGGCGCTTCCACACTAGTCAGAAGTAATCTGTTCCACATGTCAAACTTAAAATTATGATTTACCTAAATGTGTTGGAAACTTTTGTCATTGTAGGGAGTGATATTGTGCCTAAAATGTCATTGTAAGTCCTCGATGCAAGCCAGAAATGGTATTGTATACTAATGCACAATATCTGAGGTTATCCAACAGCAGAACAGATATGCTTGATATTCAGCTCTGTAGTATCACCTTGTCATCTTGTCTTGCCTTGGTTAAATTGAAAGCACCGCTTCCTTTTTCCTCCTCACAGTTCCCCAGCGCTGCAGCCAGGCTGCGCTCTCCGGACAGTAAAATCAGAAGAGGTTAAGTTTAGGATTACAAAATTACACTGTTGCAGACGATCACATTTCCCACAGCAGAGCCTCGAATATCCTTTCCTTTCACATTTTCTATCTTGAACCACAATAGCGGAGACATTTGGAAATATTCATGCATGTTTTGTCACCACATGGAGTTGTCCATGCCTGTCACTATAGCAACAGCAACTTGGATGTTACCGCATGTTGCATTCACTTTTGGATGGATTTATCCACTTCTATTAATTACATTTCCCAGTAAATCACCCTTATCAACTCACCCGCCGAAACAAAAGCAGAGATTTACACACCCCACCCCCTCCACCTGACCCTGTAAATCCAATTAGAGCAGCTTGAGTGCCCTCCTCTCTCTCAAACACACTCTCCAGGCATTTATACGTCTGCTTTGCTTTGGATCTCTCTTTTATCCTCTCATTTTACCAACGTCGGCTTCTATTGAGAGGGGAAAAGGCTTTTATTTGTTACTGGTGGGAGTTCAAAGCTGTCGGTCTTGCTTCTGTTAATCGCGTCTGTGCCCTCCCTTACCTCGTGCCACCGCCCCTCTCTCTGAGGAGAGTGAGAAGAGGGAACCGGAGAAAGCGTCTGTTCTGTGATCGCTGGATGAAGCATGACGGCAGTGCTGGACATCAACCAGGATTCCTGTGCAGTGAGCGGTGTGGTGAGTGTTAACAGAAAGACTGTGTTTTGTGTCAGAGTAGCCTGTTGCTTTCCCTCCGAAGCAGCAGCGGGAACTTTGCAGACGTGATCTGCTCACGCTCTCAGGTCTGTGCATGAGTGCTGATGGAGTTTGAGTCGTGTTGTAGGTAGTGTGGGTGAATGATGGGCGTTATCTGCCTTTTGTCTGATGGTTGTTTAAATATGTGTGTGCCGTCATGTGCTTTCATGTGTCTGTAAGTGTCAAAGGGAGGCCTTTGAGTGTGTGTGTGTGTGTGTGTGTGTGTGTGTTAGGGTGATGACAGTGAAGCATGCTGTATGATGGCGACTCTGTTGGGTGGAGGCAGAGCTTAAAGCAGCACTATGTAACTTTTGGTGCTCTAGTAGTTAATAAACAGAACTGCACACATCCCGCGGAAAAACATTCCAACCGGAGCTACTTCTCTAAGTTTATGTCTATGGCAATTCACGCAGGTATGTGTTACTCCGCAGCGGTGACGACCCGACCAGGCTACAATAGTCCAAATATAAGTACTTATTATAAGTGTACCGTAGTGATTCGGAATAAGACAAAAATGTGGTTTGGAAGATGAATTCATGATGTACTCGCTCATTATATACATTTTGCAAATTTTGAACAGAAA